TAACAAAGTCTTCGTTTCTTTCTCCAATACATCAAATTTGCTAGAAATATTGAATTAAAGAAAGAGCCTGTTCAAGGAGTACTTTTCATATTTTTTCAATTACATGTGTTTAATACAATATAAACGAATAATCATCCTTGATCTTATACATTTTTTTCCTATGTAAACAGTCCGAAATCCACGTCCTTCAAATTTTGCGTATTTGTTATTTCAGGTAATTTATTCATCGCATCTAAAAGAATTTCTTATATAAAATCCCAAATGTACGTAATGAATAAAAAAAATTTAAACAGAAAAATAAACCAATAAGTAATTGTTAATTATTCGATTGTTAATTCTGACAAATATTTATTTAGGTATTGTTAGCGTATAAGCCTTGAAAAATTGTCAGTAATGGATCATAAGTTATCGAAAAATGTAATTTATTTAATTTTTTTCGTTAATTTTTTTCAAAGGACATCGTCTTATCCATGCAAATAAAATTTAAAGTTCGAGTTACAAGAAGAAGAAAAAAAAGGATCAGGTCAACCTCAACGGCATTACCGATGCAGCCCACGCGATGCTCTCGGATGCGAAAAATGATAAAAAATTTTCCAAGTTCCCTCCCGTTGCTCACAGTTAAAGCGCACAAACTTTTTAGTTGACAAACATACCCACTAAAAGCAATGCGAGAAGAAGACGAGGGAAGCACGGTATTTTAATTACGAAAAATGTAACAAATAATGATGAAAATCAAGGCTCACCCAAATGAGCTCTTGCTACCCCCGCTCCGCCATCCAGATCTATCTATCAAGGGAACACTCTTGTATCGAAGCAAGCGGAACTAACAGCCTTTAATTAATAAAGTTAGCTGAGCTACTTTCGAAGTCTCGCGAGAGCACGGCTGTGTCTCTTTCTCTTTTCCGACTCTCCGTCGTCTCGCTTGTAGGCGCAACAGTAACATTTTCCGAACAGCCAGAATTAAAGTGGATCCAAAGCTCATCCCTGATTTATACCCTCACTCTGTGCTTATGTTCTTTACTCGTTGTACACCCGAGAGTCTAGATAAGCTTGCTTATTTTGACACTTTTTTCCACTCAAATTGACAAAAAAAGACTTTCATTTTGTGTTTCTCAACTCGCTAAAATCTATCCTAATTTCTACGTATTGCTGGAAAGTTTTTGAAACGACGGCCATTTCAGGTATGTTCAAAAATACATTTTTCTTAAAATTAGTGACCGTTAATGAAAATTATATCATCTCTCTTGATCATTAAATTCTTCAAAATTACCAACGTAACTAAATTTAATGGGGTTGATAAAAAAACCCACTACTACAAAAAGTCAAAACAAAACATACAGAGGTAAACGCTCCTATTATTCCAGCCACTCACTTTTTGAGGGGAAGCCTTAAATAAACAAAAAAGAAAAAAAAAGAAAAAAAAAAAAAAGAAACGACAAAAGCACACCGAAACCCAAGACCGAGGACAAGCGCGCACAGGGCAGCTTTAAAACTTCAAAGCACCAACCGCGTGAGTGAAAAAAAAAAAAAAAAAAAAAACAGGGGTCCTAACGAGCAGTCCACTTTAACTCTAGCGGCGCGTGCGCCTCTGCCCTTGCACTTTTCCTCCCTTAAATTACTCGAGCGTAATTTTTTTTCAACGCCACCACGTTCCCCCGTCTGCTTCAGCACCGACGTCTTTCCCTCTCTCTTTTTCTCTGTTTCGCAGCAGTCTCCCCGGATAATTGATAACTCCGTGGGACGAAATACAAAAAAAAAGAGGGGGGGCGCCTATGTGTCTTCCCTCGTCCATTCCGATGCCAAGAAGCGGCCAAGGAGCTTTGGACAGTTGGCTGCTGCTAAAAATTAAGCCTCGGGTGGATACACGTACACAAACTTGTACGCGCCGAGCGGCCTGCCTTCACGGTAGTTTCGCGTATCTTTCTCCCGCGAGTTATGGCTCGCTAAAGAAAATTGACTTGAGCCCTGGCCAGAACGAGTATACATTTACAATCCTCCGTAAAAGGGGATGATGCGTATAATGCGTGCGCTCGAGTGGGGAAGGAGGGGGAAAACAAAAAGGCGTGAAGTTTGGAATTTCGTGTGTGTATGGGAGCGCGCGTGCCAGAATAGGGCTAGAGGGATTGTTATTTCTCGGATGGAATGAAAGAATTTCGAGGGCAGGGTTGCGCGGGGATGGCAGGGGGTTGGGATCGATGAATATAGAGGAAGGGGCCAAAGAGAGAGAGCTCTCGTGCGAGGGTGTTGTGTTTTTTGCCGGGGTCGTGTTGTCGTAAGGATATCGAGATGCGTATGGATGTAGATTCGGAGAGGATCACAGGGTTGGTTGCTGGAGATGTTTTTTTTCTTCTTATGGATGCAGTGTTCGTGCAGATGAACACAAATTCCAATGTGACCGTACAAGTTTGCAGACTTTATTGATTATGAATTCAAATAAAGCTTAATAAAAGTACGTCTTTACAAAAGAAATCGTTCTCTACTTTTTGGATTATAGGTAATAGTGTCATTTTATAATTTTTAAAAACTTGTTTTATATTTTTCAGTGAACACATTCTACAGGATATTTGACTCCTTACCTATACGAGATCGTCATCCAGAAAATTCAGTAGAAACAGCCAAGTAACGCCAGACGGCCGAAAAAATTGACGCAAACTAACTTGGTCTCTATTTGTAATCTGTCATTTTTTTATTTAAAAAAAGTAAATAAACAAAAAAAATTGAGTAGAAACAGACGAGTAATGTTAGACGGACGAAAAAATTAGCGCCAACTAACATGATTCGTACGTGAAATCTGTCATTTTTTATTTTAAAAAAGTAAATAAAGAATAAGAAAATTAAGTAGAAACAGATGAGTAACGTCAGACATACGAAGAAATGGGCTCAAACTAACGTGATCTATTACAAAACCTACCATGTCTTATTTTAAAGAAGTAAATAAACAACAAGTAAATTGAGTAGAAATAGACGAGTAAAATCAGGTGGACAAAAAAATTAACCCAAACTCACTTGATTTATACTTTTGAAATTTGTCATTTTTGTTTTAAAAAAGTATATAAACAAAAAGAACATGAAGTAGAAACAGACGAGTAACGTCAGACGGACGAAAAAGTTGTCGGAAACTAATTTGATCTTTACTTGTAATCTGTCATTTTTTTATTTTCAAAAAGTTAATAAACGAAAAAAATTGAGTAGAAACAGACAAGTAACGTCAGACCGACGAAAAAAATAACGAAAACTAACAAGCTCCATACTTAAAATTTGTCATTTTTTTGTTTTAAAAAAGTGAATAAACAAAATGAAATTTGATGTCTACATAATATTACCATCTGTAACAAAAATTACTACAAAAGAATCGTTTCTAACTAATCTAAATCCATCGAAAATCCCTCCTACACAGCCACTGATATGCAGCTAGACAGTACGAGTTAAATAAAAGTGTAGAAAAAAAAATAAGCAAGCAGTCATAGTTTTATCTATTTTAACATTATTCTCAATAAAATTGTGTAACCTTTTTTTTTGATTCGCAGATGTTTTGGCTGATTTTTATAAGATTTTGATGAAAGCTTGAACCTTGGATTGGTTAAATTCATAGAAAAATAATCTACGCTATTACTATGAATGCCCACGCAATTTTATTTTTATCCATAAAAACCTTTATTTATTTTTACGTAAATATTAAAAAGTCTCCTCGACTGGAAAGCTTTTATGAAATTCAAACTCGTGTAACTTTGTTTTACGCTACCTTTGACTATTATATCATTCACGTGAGCGTGCTCTTGCTTTTATTATTGAATGAATGTCGATATTAAATTTGCTTTCGCACCCTGTTATTCATCAAATTAATTTATTATCTGCACACGTACACACACACACACACCCAAGTAAATATGAAATATTCGTATTCAAAACATGCCCACATTAATTATACGCGATGGTAACGCGAATTTTCGAAATATTTATGCAATGTTGGAAGAGAGCAAAAACTTATTTAATTAAAGCTCTCCAGTATGGTACACCTTGGTGGATGTTTTTAACCACAACGTAACATCAGCGTAAATTTGTATTGGCTAAGGGTTCTATATCTGGACAATGCCAGTATCAATATTGATTCCTATTAAGAGCTGCAGTCCCCTCGATTATCAACTATCGAGTGTTCGTTTCCTGAAAAGTTGACCCAAGCTAAGTTGCCTCGTTGATGAATCGATATCCCACGCATGTTAGAACAATACATTTCATCCTACGAACACACCACGTAAACGCTACGCATGTGTGTACACGGTAAAAGGACAAATACACTACATCACTCAAATGTATTCAAAACCATGCCTGACCTATTTCCCCCCCAGTTTGAGATTTACTGCCCCCTTGGCCCGTGGATTCACATATACCGTAGCGCGCCATCGACGTCTTCGTATTAAAATCCCATTTTCGTTTCACGTCTCCCTGCAGTCGCTAAAAAAATCATATGGATGATGTAATATATGGGTACACACTCGAGGCGATTCCGATTTAGATAAGGCGAAATTGATTTTCAATGTTTACGCTGTTAAACCCCCGGTGGATAAGGACAGACACCTATATGTATGATGATGAATGTGAATGGTTTTTTTTTTATTTCTAAAAAATAAAATTGTCACTGAAATTTTAAGCCCATCTGGAAAATATAATCCAGCAGCTTTTACGCTAATTACGATATTTCTTGGGAATCACTTAATAATAAGTAAATGAAAAGCTCAATTCTAATTCCAAAACAATGATGAAACTTATTATTGTTAAAAAACTTGGGAAATGTGTTAAATTGCGCGTAAATACGAAAAAAGAATATCTTTCACGTGACTTTGGAGAATAATTGTTCGACGTGAGGCACCACGAGCAGCAACAGTTTTAATTCCTTAATTTCGTTCGGTCCACTGTTGACGCACTGCCAAATTATTTAGCACGTACGTAACCACATGCGTATATGCGAGTATATGAGCGCAACATTAACTGCGAGGACTAACCTTATTGGGTGTCGTAGCTTGCTGCTGGGGCGAACAACTGGTGCTGTGAATGGTCGGCTGATTGGTGGTCGGGGTGCCCTGGTGGTTCAGGTGGTTGAGCTGAGGTGGGGGCGGGGGCTGCTGCTGAACTATCTGGCTTTGGGCTCCGGCCGGTGGTGGTGGCGGTGGTTGGTGGAGCTGCTGGTGGTGGTGGTGGTGGTGGTGATGGCTTTGCGGGGCTACCTGGTGCTGTTGGCTCGTCGGCTGGTGTTGTTGCTGCTGCTGATGGGTGGCCGGGAACGAGGGCACCGTGAATGGTACAAAAAGCATCGGGCTGCCAAGGATGTGCGCACCACCTCCACCCACTGCGCCTGTTTCCTCCCTACACCTGTTGGGATGGTTTTTTTTTTTTTTTTTTTTGTTGAATGAAGATTAACGGTTAAAGGGCACGTGGTGGGGAATGGTAAAAAGTCACCGAGACCATGATGATGATTATTATATGCGTTTCATGCGGGATGTGTTTTTTTTTTTTTTTTTTTTTTTTTTTTTTTCATCAAAAATTTTCGTCTTATAAACATTTAATCTGTTGTCATTAGTTTATTTCTTCCTAACTTTTTATGTATCTGGGATTTTTAATGACCATCTTTTATTTAACTAGTAGTAGTAGAAAAATGGTTTTAACAGAATGGTGCTGCCAAGTAGAAAAAATCATACAGTTTTTGATAATTAAGATAATTAGAAATACTTCAATATGTGATTGGAAGAACTTGAGCTTTTTTGCTAACATTTTAAAGGTTTTTGGGATTTTTTTTCCTCCAAAGTCAATCCCCAGTTCTAAGTTTAATAAGATAATCAGTGCATTCTCGAAAAAAACACATTATCAAGTTTTGAAAAATTTTGTGAAAACTTGTTTACTTAGTACACTGTTGCTTTGATGTTGTCTTATAAGTACATAATTAGTTTGAGTGTATGACTGATCACAAATCATACTGACTAAAAATTTTTTCATGTAAATTAGCAAATAATAATACGGTATAAAAAGGTAGTGGCAGATCCAAAAAGCTTTACACTTATCATTCCTAAGTAACCATTTTTTCCATCACTATATTATCTACGTGGCTCAATTAGCTTTTTGTATATCAGTATGTAATTTTTCATAAATACAATTTTTTACTTTTGCTCTACTTTTATAAAACCACCGTATGAACTAAAGACACGAGACTCCATAACTTTTATACTTTAATTTGTCCTCTGTTACGTGTGTACAGGTACATTTGTGATACTAATATTTTCATGACGGAATTAGTTATGCTCGTAATGTGCTAAGTCTAATTTTAGGTTGCTTTTTTAATGTGAATTGTAAAGTAGTCACGCTGAAGTAAATGAAAAAGCCCACCTCATTTAACAAAGAATGAGAGATTATAGTACACATACACTGTGTGTAACTCACGAAAACTACCACGTGGCATGAAAAGATTGAAAAAAATTTTTTTGTTTGTCTAACAAATCAAGAATTTGTTTTAACACACGTGATTAAATACTGGGCAGACCCAGTCAAATCCATCATCGTTTTTAATAAGTGATCACGTGACATTTAACTTTTAAGATTGCAACAACAAAAAGAGAGATAAACACGAAGTAAATAGTCTAATTGAATGTATTTCATTCTACGAGGGAATAAAATGACAATCATCACATTTGTTTTGTTCCGACAAATTGCAATGCACAAAATAATCCTCTTTTGACAGTATGGAGGAAAAAGGAAAGAAAGTAGAGTCGATTCCCTGAAAATCATGAAAAAATCCCAAACGTCGACATGCAAACAAAAAAAAAGGGAAAAGCAAGTAACCTGCACTCTGTTCCCAGGCCTTGATGTTGGGAGTGGGCGTAGGGGGCGGCCCGGACGGAGGTGGTGGACGCCACCCTCGCAACCCTCAACGATATGCCGCCCCGTTGGCTGGTGAGCTGTACCGCGGTGGCAGCCGGCTGCTGGTGGTGGCAGCAGCAGGCCCTACAGCCGGCGCTCGGGGGTACTGTGACCTGCTGCTGAGCAGGTGCCTGATGCTGGTGGTGGTGGTGGTGGATCAAAGGGGCAGCAGCTGAGGCAGCAGGAGGGGCCCTCGGCCCCGTTGAGTGACAACTGACGGCCCCGCCTGGATAAACGCCGAGCAGGCAACCGACCACGGGAGCCGACGAGGCACCGGTTTGCCCGGGGCCCGAACTCGCCACCCCAAGGACACCACTCTCGGGCTTAGCGACACCGCCGCCTACGCAAGCAGCGCACCACGAAGCCGGACCGGCGACCGCTGCTTCCGGCTGATGATGATGGTGATGGACTACTTGAAGCTGCTGCTGCTGCTGCTGTGGCTGGTGGTGGTGGTGGTGGTGATGGTGGTGATCGGACGAGCCTGCGCCGAGGGTTGACTGGTGGTGCTGGTGGGCGAGGATGGTCGGCTGGGCGTTGAGGGTGCGCGCGTCTATGATAATTGGGCCCCGGACCTGCACCTTCCGGGCCAGCTCCTTCGGCTCGCTCGGCCCCACGGACGAGATTTTGGCCCGCTTAGCCGCTACTCGGATCGTAAGCCGGCCTCTGATTTCGCTACCCAGCTTCGGAGCAGAGGACCGGCCGCTCGACGGGACTCGTTGGATTTTCGTCCACGGAACACCGTCGGACGAACCCAAGAGGTAGTGGGCCAGCTGGCTGGTGACTCTTTCCCTCTGGAAAAACTCTCTTGTCCCAGTGGTTTCCTTAACTCGAGCTGCTCGTTACGATTGCCTTTACTATACAATTGGTCAAACCAAAGACTCCCAGGTGATGTCTTTTCTTTTTCTACCTTCGTTCTCCACACAATCGTCTGTATCCACTGTATAATATGTATGCAAATATACGAGCACAGTTTATTTGCAGTGAAACGCAATGAAACTTGAAAACACTCGTGACTTGAAAACGTCAGCTATCGTGGTAAGGTTAGAATGTAATGTATGTACGTACGTGCAATCACATGAACAGACGTGCACTCGGTCAGTTTCTACTGGTTGTTCCGGTTCGACGTGTACGTACGTATACACAGGAATAAGGTTGCGCGTGCAAGTGTATTTTTTAGGTAAGTACTTGGACAAGTGCAGTTGGTAGAGAGAGAGAGATCGATTATACGCGTTTCTCCAAAGACAAATCGGCCAAACCGCGCGGATGATGGCTGCTCCTCTTAGTCACAGGATCGGGTTAACCACAGGGTAATAATATACTGGAAACCAACACTTTTATTCAAATCTCAAAATATCTCGTCGACGCACAATATCACTGTATTCAACACGCACACGCGCACTATCCTTACGATACGGCGATCGAATTAACTTTACCTTCACTTTTTTTTTTTTTTTTTCTTTTCTTTAAGCAGCAGCAGCAGTAGCCACGTCAGTGTCTTCTACCGTGAGTACGGAAATTCCTTTCTTTTTCGTCTTCGAAGCAGAAGTAAGTACTAGTTCAAAAGTGCTCTCTTTCCCCGGTGAGTGAAAAAACAGCGTCAAAACGACAATTCACTGGACACCGAGTACACTGAAAAAAATCTCGGCTGAAAAGCACATACCGGTAAACGTCGCGCGCCGACGATTCCCTTAGACCGAGCGTTCCATGGTTCCTTGCACCCGATCGGATGGCTGCGCGGACAACGAGTTCAACGGCGTGAATCTTAGCACTCGCATCGGCGGAAACCGACACCGGAAGGTATAAAAGTAAACAAACGGAGGGACCGAGCGCACGAGAAATCGGCAAAGGTTTTTCGGGACCTGGAGTTTTCAAAGTGACGGGGCACGCTTCGCGCGACAGCTACACCGATACGATATACTTATCCATCCCGTTGGTAAAAATATTAATACGCAAAAAAAGGTGGTAAATCGGCAATGGTAATAATGATAATAATAATTATAACAGTAACAACAAGAACAAGGATAACAACGATAACAATAACAATAAGGGAGCGAGGGAAAGCCAACCCGTGATGTCGGAAGGTCGCTCGGCGACTGACTAGCACTTCCGCCTTTCTCTCTTTCACTCTCACTTGGTATCTGCACTCTCGGTGCTACTGCTGCTGCTGCTGCTGTTGTGCGTTTCGCGGAACGACGAGTAGAGAGAGAGAGAGGGTGGCCGAGGGAGCGAACGAAAGAGGGGAGCCTGCTACTCCCCTACACACAACAACAGCAGCAGCAGCAGGGGGTTGCTCGCTCCTTGCGTCAACGAGTGTCTATATAACGCACCCTTTTATACGTGTACGTGTGTGGATTAGTGTGCGTGAGGGGGGTTGGGGGTGGTGTACCGGTACACGGTTGGTTTTGCGCGCGCGGGAAACCGGTGGAGCTTTCGCGCCGCGAGTCCACCGCCGTCGTGTATACGTGGCTCGGTGGGTGTGCGTGTGTAACCATCCAGCCCTCCTGCCATCCATCCCTACCTCGACCACCGTCAGCCCCTTGTTGTCTCTCGGCCGACGGTTTCGACTTCGGTGCGGCTGTGCATGTATACACGATACGTACTCCCACCCGGCTTTTCTTCACGTGGCTCGAGTCGACGTAAATACCGCTGTTGCTTTGCCTACTATACTCGCAAAAACGTGTATCACGTATGCACCTTTCAAGATTTGCCGAGTCTTTTTCTATCTTTGAGCTGTGCGTGATTCTTACCGTACGATAATCATTATTTTTTTACATCAATTTAGAGAAAATACGATGTGAATAATTTCGTTTCCACTATTTTCAATCAAACGAGTACACTAGGAGACACTCTGAGTAATATTTGTTATTCGTATTTAACAGTGCCTTTTTGCTCTGGTGGGTCAAAAATATTGATTATTTCAAAGACTTGTCCACCAAAATCGATCAACTCGACGTTACAGTCTATAAATAGTACAAGGCTTCAATTGATTTAATTGATCGAGAGTGACTTCAAAACGGTGATTGAAATTCAGAAATCGGCAATAATTTATCTTAAAGTAACAGAGAAAGGTATTGTTACATTTTGTTGATTTTTTTTTTCATTTATTTAACACGTAAAAAAATTAAAGGCTCAAAAAACTAAAAACAAGCAGCAATATTTCCTCAAAAACTTTCATCGATTAGTAAAGCAACGACCCGTGGACTGTACAAAACCCACCCTGATTGTACGTCAACAAACCGCGAAAGTTTTATCCGACACGCCAAAAAGCACCCTCGGTCAAACGAGCATGATGAAACATTGGACACGACAGAGCAAATAAGCATTGCGTGGATCCGATTAGAAGCTTCGTTACATGCTCGAGTTAATTCGTGATTGTGCAAATGCAAGGATATATACATTTTGGTACCAAGGCGTATGTGTATCAGTGTGATGACAGAGCAAAACTGTCTCACACACATGGGTGTCTCCGATTTGCGATCAAAATGTCACTTTGAGAGATTGAAAAAAGAAAGGACAACTTAATCGCAGCCTGAAACAAGACCCTGGCTCTGTGCGACACTCATTCCGCCATTCGGGCGCAGCACTTCATGTACTTATTCCAGCTCGGAGATATCTAGGATAACAACAAGGACCTTTTCTCCGTTCAATTGTTTGTGCATCTTATTTATTTTTATCCCTCGGCATAGCACTTTTAACCTCTGGTGTGGAAAAAAAAAAAGAAAAATAAAATAAAGGAAGAGAGCTTAGTGCCAGTGACAACGTGTACGTGACGCGCACTGCTCGTGTGTACGTGGTGTGTATCTATGTACCTACACGTCCAGCTAGTCACCGCGAGCAGTGTGGCACGAAACTCACCGATATGCCGTGCGTCCGCAGCCGCCAAGTGTACAGACACAACAGAAGCACGCGCGAATGCGAACCTCGTGTTTACCCCTCTGTGTACACGCCGAGGAATGGAAGGGATGAGAGTAACAACACAAACAGAAGTGGGGAGGAAGGCTGTCGAAGGGGGGTGGGGGCTGGCGCTGGACACCGGGTGCGCGTAGGTGTCGAGACGGAAGGGATCGAAGATGACGAAGACGGAGGAGGAGGAGAAGGAGGCTGTCGCGAAAATTCGAGGAGAAAAGAACAACAAGAGCAGACGATTCGGGGGGGGGGGGGCAAGAGCGAGGGGGTGGCTAGTCGCGCACGTTTATAAGCGTCCGTTGGCGAAGCCGGTGCTTTGGCAAACTGGTGTGCACCGGGCGAGAGTTGCTCGGCGCAGCAGCAGTCGGTCCTCTCCCCTGTATCGCCGTGTATCGCGACGCTGGCGCCGGCAGAGAGCTTGCAAGCTTCGGATGAGATAGACAAGGACGAGGGAAGGATAAAAGTGGGAGACTGAGGGAGAGAGGGTTACACACCGGCCGAGGGGTGGGAGGGTGCGCTGGCTCGTTCATTCGCTCACTGCTGTGGACGGGGAGAGAGAGAGAGAGAAAGGGTGGATGTACAGAGGAACGCGAAGCGAGACAGAGATGGAGAGGTCAAAGTGCCGAGGGGAGGATACAGGGTGGCGATACGGAAAGAACGCGAGACTTTTTTTTTTTTTTTTTTTCCTAGCTTGGGCGCCTTTTTTAAGCGAGGATCTTATACAGAGCGCACGATGAAGATGATGAGTATGTCCAGAAACCGATTGGTTTTGGCTTCGGTGCATTTGATCGAGCTTCGCCAAGTTTGGAGTTGAATCGGTCTGAAAACAGGAATCCCGAAAGGGTTATTTACGAAAAAGGTGATTGAGTTACGAAGACTTTGAGATGTACGGGTGATTACCGCTTCAGAGATATTCAACTTTTAATTTACAATTTGCATTTAGTGGAATATTTTTCATGAATTTATTTACATAGTCGTTGGATAATTTTTGTGTCCTGCAAAGATATCATGTCGTAAAGTTTTGTTCCGACGCATGAATGACAGCAACAATTAATCTTTGGCTGTACTCCCTTTTGCGATTGGGGTAACTCGATGCGCACCTTTTCGATCGCGCCGAAAAATCGCTCGCTCGCAAATTACGTCGTGTTGTTCGGCAGTGACAACGCGAAGGTTGTTTGTCACCGTATCGGTGGAGCCAAAAAGGGGGGAGGTTTCTTTACTCCCTCTCTGGTATATCAAAAGTGACGCGACGAATTTTATGAATCGGAAAGGAGGGATGGAGCGCTGCTCTATTGTTTCACGCGCACGTACAGAAGGTCCATAAAATTCATGGTTTTTTTTTTTTTTTTTTTTTTTTCCTTCTCTTTGGGAAATTCACTGTTTCGCTGGCTTCTTTTCAACCATCCAACAGCAGAATTTATGATTATACAATACCAACGGGAGAATATATTAAGTTTGTTTACTTTAAAAACTTCGACTTATCGTTACTATTGTAACGTTTTCCCGTGTGTATTTAGTCAAAACGATCACCTGCAGCGTGGTCCAACAGCTTAAAAATATGATACTCTTTCACGCGATATCACTGATATTTCTCATTATCAGTCTGTCTCTACAGTTTGTATTGAAAAAAAAAATACATGGGATGTTTCAGCTCCGCCCATCTCTCAAGGCTGACTAGGTGCTCTCTTCTAGAGGACACTTGTTCAAAGTCTTTCAATTTATGTTTTTATTTACTGTACCGTTGGCGGAAAAACTTTATCACCTTATCGACAAGCTCCTTTTTTGTTTATCTGAGACTACCGCGGAAATACAACCAAGAAAAAAAAAAAAAAAAAAAAAAAAAAAAAAAAAAAAAAAAAAAAAAA